CTATTTCAGCTTTTTCCCTAGAGGAAGTCTTCCCTTGGAACGTTTCACCAGGCACTAATTGAAGGGATTCAAAACAGCTCCTTTTAAAAAAAAAATAGGGGGAAAAAAGCTAAGCCAGAATATAAATTCTCCTCAGTATACAGTCATGTTTGTTGGTACATTTTCCAGAAAATATTCAGGAGATAAGACTTTTAAAGCTTATGGATTTTTTTTCTCCCAGTTTCTAATCAGAATTCCCAGAGGTTCTGCAAGAGTTGTTGACCTTTTATCAGAGTCCTCTAATTATGCTCATTATCATTGTTAAGAAAAGATCACAGGGACAGAATTTGCATCTAATCTCTCACAACAGGGCTCCTAATCCCAGCACCACAATCAGAAACAGTCTCAGACATGTTTTTACTTCCCAGCTTGGCAAGAAAGACATCAAGCCTCTCACCCTGGTTTATTTTTTTTACAGAGCATCGTCAGGATTAGCAAGATCCACTGTTTCAGTCCCATAATTTAAGTTTCAAAACTCCCTCATTTTCCTAGCTTACACCTTGTTTAAAAACTTGAATGCAGTTTAGAATTCTTAAAATTATTCATTACATTGTCATTAAAGTTATTCATTAATTCCATGTAATGAAAGAAGTGCTGAGCTGCTACAGATGTAGGGCATATTTTTTTAAGTAGGATAAGATTAGATTCCTTCCATAACACAGTAAATTTACTGGGGCATTTTACTGCTAATATAGGTATTGGTTGCTATTCCTTAGAAGGAAACTTTTAGGAACAGCCAACAGAAGTAAATAGTTCAGTTTAAGCAGTAAGTTTTTTGGCTGATCATTTTCATTATTCATGAAATCTCTATACACATTGTATATCCTAGCACAGTGTGATTTTTGCCTTGTTATTATTTTAGTTCACAAGCAAACAAAAAAAAAGAAGCTGTTATGAATCAGAATTCCACCTGTAACACTTATTCTCCTGTATTATTACTCTTCAGCCACAGCGTGGAATCTTTGCTTGACAGCAATTTATCAAAATATATGAAGATGACCTCCAAATAACAAGACTAATAACTGCCAGCTGAGGCTACTATTTCCCTTCTGTTCACAAAACACAGGCAACAGTTGTATAAACACCAAAATGCAGGGAATCCAGACTTGTGGAAATGGCATGTTCTAATGAAATCAGTAACACTTGGAAGTTAAACAGAAATGGTAAACATTTTCTCAAAAGCCTCTGACAAAGAATGAGGAGTGTGGGATTTAGAGTAAACTACTTGTTTGTTTGCTTATTTCAAAGAAAAAGAATTTGAAAATCGCAGTAAGCATATAGCTGAACCTCATTCAACAAATGTATCAATTTCTGCAATATTTATAGGCTTTTCTATAATATTTATTGCTGAGATATTTATGCACCTCAGGAGGAAGAGATTTCTTTTCTCAGCTCCACAGCATGGCAAGAATGCTTTATGCATCTTTGCAGATGGGGAAGCTCTAAAAAACCACTTTGGCTGGGAAAGATGTCCAGCTCTGCAGAGCCTCCCTAACAACAAGGTTAATTCTTATCCCCCATTTTAGGTTTAAGGATCTAAATTATTTCTCAGTGATGTTTAAGGGATAGGTGTATCACTTCCTATTGCAGCAGCTTTCAATCTTTTAAAAGAAGCTCTAAGTCACTGAACAGTCTGACAGACTACACCGAAAAAAGTATTGCAAAAACATGAGCATTACCCAGGAAAACCATCATCTTGGAATATGACAAGATGAGTAATAAATACAACAAAGACAAGGCATAGAAAGGAAATGAACAAATAAAGACTGTTTTATACTATGATTATACTTTTTGCAATAGCCAACTACACTTGATAGTCATATTTATACAGCTTACTATTGCAGGATGCCCTCCTGCAGTTTAATACTCCAGCTTGCAGGATTCTTAAGGCCCAATGGCCATAAGATGCCAAAGTCCACCAAGGCCAAAAAGAACTCCTTCCCTTCATTTTTTTATCAGGGCCGAGATCTGGCACCCACATGATCGTCTCTAGTTCAAATTTCAAAAAATCCAGCCTGTACTCAGACACAGGAAAACACAGAACTATAACATTTCCATTTAAACAGCAGCTAGTCAGTCTAACACCAGGAACCACTCTGGTCTTGGGTGGGGATTTATTAGGACATAAAAGGGAAGGAGAACAGAGATGACTGACTCGGATACAACTACTCTGGATACTCCACAAGGAGAACAGTCCTTCACTTCCTCTGGGAATCCCTCAGAGCAGCTGACACTGGTGGCTTGAATAGTATTTATGAGAATGTTTCAGCCTGTGAGTAATCCCTTATCCTGTAACTCCCATGGACTGAAATATTGACAATCCAAGCTCAGTATTTGAACTGAACTGACCAGTTCCTTGGTCTTCCTGTGGTTGTGTTCATATTGTTCCTACCTGGACATTTTGAACACTGACCAGCTCCTGCCTAAATAACAAAACAGATCATTTTCAGTCACATCCTATTTATCCCCCTTTCCTGCTGTTACTTCTGTGATGTTCATCGCTCTTGCAGTGAGAGAAATAAACAGGAGGGGAAATTTGAGAAATAAAGGATAAAAACTGGCTTTTGTGGCACATTTTTGAGGGGAACTCAATTTGATTTTTGAGGGGATATAAAGTCACCTAACAGGACTGGAATTTCAATGGGAGCAGGAGATAAAACACCTGGAGAGTCCACTGGATCTGGCAGAGCTGGGCAGGTACAGAGAGCGACCTTGGGAGCTCCTGGAATTCAGACTTCAAAGGGGACAGAATGTGATAGTGCACAGAGCTGAGAAGCAAAGAGCATGGCACTGGGTGTGTTCCGACAGCTTGCTGGGCTGTTTCTGTCCTGACACATTTTTGGGGGAGAGAAATAGGTGGAAATTTTGGACTGTGAGACTGAAAACTACCTGATACTACACACAGCAGAGAGTGAAGGCACAGTGCTCCTTTGGCTGCGTGTGCAGTTTTCAGACTGCAAGGAAGAGGAGCCACCACACGATTGCAGCGCGAATACAATTTTGCAAATAGAAGAGAAGGTCAGTGAAATCCTTTTGTGGTGACACATTTTCTTTGAGGGCCGTGGAGGACGTTCTCAACTTCGGCTCCTCACGTCTGGTGGTTTGGAGAGAGCGATGTATTCACGTCTTTTCCGAGTGTCCGGCGCCATCGCGTGGTCCTTCCCCACCATCGCCGCTCCAACCAGCCCAAAAACCTGCAGAGGGTGGAGCAGAGGGGACACACCACGGCCAGGCTCTGTGGAAACCCTGGCAGGGAGGGGAATTCGGTGGTACTTGGCAGGTGCTGTGTGGTTTTATCAGCTGCAAACCAAGGAGGAGATGTCCTGCTGCTGAGCCAGCAGTGGTGGCAAAATTGGGCAAAATCGTTGTCCTCAAATGAACTTGATTCATTAAAGCCTAACTGTAATATTAACACACCTCCATCCTAAAGTTACTCACCTCCAAGGTACAACCACCCCCCCACTGGGCATGCACTCTATATTTTTTGACCAATTTTACAGCAACGAGCAACAAAGGTATTTATTACTCAAGTCGCTCAAGTTCCACCTAAACATAAAGAAATAGTATAAAAGTAAGTTGAGAATGGAGGAAAGTTAGGGAAGACTACATCAGCACTGCTGGGATCAGCTGATGGGCTAAACCTGTCTTACCTGTCTTCTCTCCCATAGGGATGTCTATTAGGTAAGAACTATTAAAGGGGATAAAACTTGTCTGTGTATTGCTTTAAATATGTTTTGCAGCCAGACACTGTCACTGGCAACCTTCAAACTTCGACCTGTCACAATTTTACATTAATAAGGACTGTCATTCCCTAAACTACTGATGGTGGTTGCAGGTAACACACTTGAATGAAGTGGGAAGACCTGCTGAGGGGTCTCCCTTCTGCTGTTGGCTCAGCCCCCTGAAAAGGGCACACCTGAAGGCTTCACTCCCAGCCTCATCCCACTGCATATTGAAGGCACAAATAATAACCCAAGTTGTAGTGTTGGGTAATTGAATCCGAAATATTTTCCAGAAATTTGACCTTTTTAATGCTGTGAAGCATAGCACTGGAGTCCATCTAATACTAGAAACCTTTGCTGCTTCTTGCAGGGAGAAAGTGTCCTGCCTAGGTAAGACTGATTAAAATAACACACAGTTCCAAGATGATGCTTGCTTTATTAGAATCTCACAAAAATGTTAAATTCACAAGTTATGACGCTTAAGGATCAAAACCTCAAAGGTTTTTTACTACTTTATTTCCAAAAGCTCTAAGTTGTGAAGAAAAAGACATTCTAACCCAGCATCTTCTGAATGTTACTACGAAAATGGAAACGAAGTAGAATTTAATTTAAAGATTTTAACAGCTGAGACAAGCAATGTGAAAAACTGAATTACAGAAGAAACAACACAACCCAACAATCATGCTACAAATTTACCTTTCCACAACAATCAGTACTACCAGGTCAGTTCTTTCCACCAAAAAGGTGCTGTAGTGGCGAAAAGATGATGCTGGGGAAACAAAAACAACAACAAAAAGAGCACATTAGACTTAAAATACTTCTCTGAGAACTGGGAAGAAGGCAATTTCTGTCCAACAGAAAGACACAATGACAGCACAAAACAACACAGAAGGAAACTGGAAAAATAGAGGAAACAAAGAATAATTTGTGCCCTGATGGTCTGGTCTCAGTCATTAAAGGGATGGCAAACACCACAATTAACAAGAAGTTTTATTCCTTACACAAAGTGGCTGTTCTTGGCTGGGGAGTGCATGGCAGCAGTTGGACACTGGTTGGGTTTTAGTGAGTTAATTTTGTAAGGGCTGTTACAGAGATCCAGTGACCCTCTCATGTGTTCTTTCCCAAAGACAGTTCAGAAGAGGAAAATTTTTGGGGAATGCTGCACCTTACCACGAGATAAAAGGATACTCCTGAATGTTTCTTTGCCCTGGGAGACCTTGGTTTAACCACAGAAAAGAGGTCTCCGTCCTCCAGAACCGTGCAGAATCCCCTGAACTGCCAGAATCAGCCTTGGCACAGGCTTAGACAGAGCCAGGAGTGCATTTGCTCACTGCTGCACGATTAGTACCTTCTCCAGAACGTTGAGAGACTCCTTCCTTCCGACTTCACATTTCCTTTCTTTCCTGTTTGGTCCATTTGCTGCAGCAGCTGCACTGCACCCTCAGCCTGACTGGCTGCTGCTCCTTGTTCAAGGGCAGATTCCACACATTTCCCTGTAGGAAACAGCAGCAAGAGCAAAACCACAACCTCACTCACTCCACACTCCCTGTGTACCCACTGGAATGGAATGATCCAGGAATTCCTTACTCACAGTCTTTAGTAAGGGATGCTGGGCTAAACTTGCACTCATTTGCTTTGGAAGAGTTCTGAAAGGAAAAGGAACCCAAGAACTGTTACACAATGCAAAATTCTACTGTACAGAAATTTTAGTTTACTTGCTTGTTAAGCAAGCACTAAAAGTACCAAAAAGGCAAGGTCTGTTTTCTTATTGTTTTTTGGGGCTTTTTTTCTGCTACTGTTAGGACTTTCTTCATCAAGATATTTTTACACCTCCCTCCTCAGGACATTCACAGGCCTAACATAAAGCTGCAATTAATTCAGAAGAATTTAACGTATCAGATAGTGAAATAACAGGAGCTATGGCATGAGTAGAGATTTCAAAAAACATGAACAGAGGAGCTGTGGGAAACAACAGCCCCTGGAGATATTAGCACTGCTAAGACACAGTGCTGGTACACAGATTAACTGAGAAAGGACAGAAATGAAAACTGCCAGAAGCAAGAGGTGGGCCAGGAATACCTGTAAGGAGGGTGATCAGCAATTCCTAAAGGACCACAAAACCCAAAACCATCATGTAAAAGCACAAACAACAAAACCAACATGTTGGCTTCTTTAGGAGAGTGTAACCTCTAACAGAAAAACAGATCCACTGCTGTTTCCCTTGCACTAAACAAAGAATCACAGAACCATTCAGGTTGGAAAAGCACTCCAAGATCAAGTCCAGGAGCTACTGACATGTTTTTTTCCTAAACCTAATCTTCTCATCCCAAATAAAAAAACCCAAACAAACGGGAAGCATGTCACAGAATTACTTGGGTCTGATTTTGTAAAACAAATTCCACACCAGGAAGAGGATTTGTGCCCATGATTTCACACAGTGCTTGTTACACCTGTTCTGGTATTCATCAACACAACAGTTTCTGTCTGGACATCCCTCTCAGTGCAACAGTGCCCTGACTAGTGCAAATTCCAGGGACAAGGTAAGCAGAGTGGGAAGAAAAAGTGACGTAAATTTGAGAGTCAAATAAGCCTGCTTGTTTTAGAAAAATTATTCTTCACTGAATGCAGTCTTCCTCCTATCCTGAAAATCTAACAAACCCATCAAAACAAAGTTTTGGGCTCCTTTTGTGGGCAATCCCAAGAGAAATGAGTGATTCCTTGGAAAAGACTCTGTTCAAAGATTTTGAGGGTGGGAAAGAGCCAGGAAGAGGATAGTGTGACAGGGATTTGAACTAAATTTACAATGGGTATCCAGAAAATGGACAATGCCCAGGGACATTTGGGAGGATGAGTGACAGCCAGGAGGACATAGGTGTTAAGGACAAGGACTAAACAGGTGCTGTTGCTTCTTTCTGAATATTCTGTAACTTACCTTTTCAAATCCATGCTCTGCTTTACTCATCTGATGAGCACAATCAGCTCCAGTTCTAAAAATAAGTCAAGTAAGTAAGAACTGAGTTTACAAAATGTCACAAAAAGGAAGCAATCCTGTAAATGGCTACTCCAAGTATTTCATTAGAAAGCAGGACTTTAGTACCTCTAGCCAACAAGATATATACCTTTAATCTGTATTTGTACTGATGTTTCAAAGTCTACATTAAAAAATTAAAATATGCACTTGTATTAGGCTTTCTGCTCTTCTACTAAAACTAACAAGCAGTTAAAGGGGGAAAAAAAAGTGTTACATGACATGGAAAGGGGGATGAGCTGAGAAAGCTTGAGAATCCTACAAAGTTACAAGGGCAGGGAGCAAAGAACCACAGAAAGATCTTACAAGACTTGGTCACAGAGCAATAAAACAGCAAAGGGAGCTCTGTACAGGGAGGTGCAATGGGATGCATGTGGAGAATCCCAGTCCTGGCTTCACACATTGTGAGGTGCTCAGTGTCACTGGGACTGTCACCTGGAGATTCTGGTTCCTCAGCACTCAGTAACACCCCAAGAAAACCCAAATCCCCCATGAGAACTTAGGGGCAAAAAAGCTTGTCCAGAAAGATGAGAAGACCAAGAGGTGGTATCACTACAGCAGACACACTCCTTCCTGGGGCAGAGGGGATGCTCAGCCTGGATGAGCTCTTCAGTCTAACAACATAACTGGAAAAAAATGACAGAAGGCTTGAAGCTGATGCTCACCAATTTGATTTTGAATTCAAGAAACTACAATTATGAACTGTTTTAATCATAACTGCTCGGGTAAGATACATGACCTAGAGAGAACTGCCAGACTGGATCATGAAATAGCCCTTTTTGTTCTTGTACTTAATTAATTTACAGCTCATGTGTTGGCTAAAAGAAACCAGAAAGCATCCTGAATCAGGGGCTCATTCCTCCCTCATTTCCAGCTGTCACACTGTGACTGGTCAGGGGAATGGGAGTGGGATTAAAGGACTACATTTGTATGAGCAGGAAAAGGACTGGCTTCAGACTGCTCTGCATGGAACACACTTGGGAATGGGGCAGGATATAAGGCAAGGAATGATGACTGGACACAGCCTGTGCAGGGGAGGGGAAAGGTGTGCACAAACACATCCCACCACAGGGACAGCTCAGGGACTCTGTCACTTGTGACAATTCAGCACAGACTGAAATTTTCTCTTTTTAAAAGCTCCACTCTGTTATAAAGAAAGAAGCCTGCTGGCCTGTAACTGATGTTGGGCCTCTGGGAGATAGCCAAGAACCAAGCCTAAAGTTAGCCATGAGCCAGGGCTGCCCCCTCGTGCTAAAGGTGGCCAACAACCCCCTGAGCTGAATTAGGCAGAGCTCTGCAAATCACTGCCCTCAAGCAGCAATCCCTCCCCTCCACTCAAGGCTGCTGGAGTCCCTCTGTGGGCTCTGTCTGGACTGGACTCCCCAGGACATGACTGGGACTCACTGAGGTGAACCCAGCAAAGGGCCACAAACATGGTGATGGGATTGGGGAACCTTTTGTATGCAAAGAGGGAACCTTTTGTATGAGAGATGGCACTGTTCAGCCTGGAGAAGGCTTGGGTGGGCTCTTATCAATGTACACCTGATGGGAGAGAACGAAGGACAGGGAGCCAGGCCCTCCTCCACAGCACCTTCTGGCAGGACAAGAGGCAAAGGGCACAGATTGCAAAACATGAAATTAAGTCTGAACACCAGAAAAACCTTTTTGACTAGAACTGTGGTCATGCACTGCAATGGGCTGTCCACAGTTGTGGTGTTTCCACAGTTGGAGTCCATTCATGACCCGAGGGGATCCATCCTGGGCAACTTGCTCTGGGTGACCCTGCTTGAGCAGGAGGGGTGGGGACTCAGTGATATCAAAGGATCCATCCAACCTCAGTCATTCTGTGAAATCCAGAGACAGAGATCCACTTGGGAATCACCATGACAGGTTTAGCTACCAAAGAAACCAATGGGAAAGATGTGTGAGAATACTCATGTGCACCCACAACACGTGCAATTTGGTGAGACTTGAAAGCACTTGGAAAAGAGCAAGCTCCAGGGTGTTTTGCCATCAGCCTCGAGCTGAGAGGCAGGCTGGGGGGCAGCTGGAAAGCTGTTCCCAGCTGAAGAACTGTCCTTGCTGTCCCTGGCTCAGTGTGCAAGCCAGTGCAGTGATCTGTCTGGCTGCTGAGCTCTGTGGACACAGAGGAATTAAACAGGCAGAGGTCTGGTCCATGGCATGGGAACCTGGGAAGCACAGGAAAACTCTTTCCCCCAATATGAGCAACGCTGCTGAGATTCTGTTACTTATGGAAGAGGAGGAAGAATTAAAACAGGGCAAAGGACTGCACAGAAATGAAACATGAGGACACAAGAACCATTAAAATGACATAAAAGAGACATTAATCTCCCTGGATATATATCAATATTTTTATTTTGTCAGTCAACTGACCTGTCCACACGCAATTGTGGGCATGAATTCTCTGCTCCAACTTCCACTCTCCTCCTCTTCACTGCTCCTTCCACTGCAGTACTTTCTGATATGTCATTTCTTCTCCTGACCTTCAAAACATTGCAAACTTGGTATGGATAACAAGTGATTTTGACTTCTCTACTTGGGAACAAAATTCAGAGTTAATACAATGTCCATTCGTATTTTGCAAAATCATTTCATTTATAGAATGAAAACAAAAGAAGGGTTCAGGACTGAGATAAGAACTGGGAGGCCATCCAGAGAATTAAACAAAATCCTGCATTCCAGGACATCCTATTTGCTCCATCTTCAGAGGACTGCTCAGAATTTAAGTAGCAGGAATGGAATGCTGAGCAGACACAGAAACATTCTTTGGGGGAATTTGGACAGGACATCTTCATGAATTCACTCCATGTTCAGACACTCACCCACACTGAAAACAAACCTACCCTGAGCTCTCATTACACAAAAATGACCAAATTAGCTTAACGTTGCTGTTTATGGCAGGACTGCATTCCAAGTCCCCTGGGACTGACAGGAAGATTTCTCTCCTGCTGGATGGTTCTGGGTGAGATTCAGTGCCAGTTTACACTGACTAACTCCTAGAAGTACAGGAACTGTAGCACTGCCTAAATATACACATTCTGTTTCTCCAGAATACTTTGTTTTGTTGTTTAATTTATATTTAAACAAAAACAAAGACACAACTTACAAGCTCATCACTCCCTCTGTTTACTTCTTTACCTGTAAACAGAGGTATAAAACTTGATGATTATTTAGACTGGACTCTCTGTAACCAACTGAAAAGTACATTTTTGCATTGCACCTCATCTTCCAGGAACAAGATAAGCTACTGTCAAGAACAGTTTGGACCTTTCCACAGTCAGTTTTTACATCCAAACGTGGGATGTTTGACAGGGAGTACAAATGGATGAGACTAAGAAATGACTGCTTGGTCATTTTATAAAGGAGATCAGATTACCTGCTAAGCAGTCATAAGAAAAAAAGAGCAACTTTTTTCAGGGCCTGATAATCAGAACAGGAAATAGTAAGAACACTCAGTTTTCCCAACAGGGGAATTCAAATGCAAAGTCCCACAGAGGCCTCAGCTGGGGCCTGAGGCTGTTCAGGGAATTCACAGAAAACCTGGAAAACGAGACACTATTGAGGTGACAAAATTTGCTAATTACACAAAAGACATTATTACCATCATTACTATCATTATTTAGAAAAACAAATCCATTCTTTCTTTAGGAAACTAGAAACAAAGGGGGTGTTGTCAGCAAACGCAGTCAAGCACAAGGAAGAAAATCATGTATTCCATGGCTCCACGTAATGGCTCCAGCCCAGTGACTGACATCAAAAAATGAAGGCTGGGGGCCACTGGGCATCACTTCATAAGAATAAATACCTCCTGAAGAGTCAGTAGTGGCTGAAAAGGCAAAGAGAAATTCAGGAAATTTTAGAAAAGCAACACAGGACAACAGAGAACACACTATCATGCTCTGTTTCAAACCACACCACGTGCAGTTTTGCTCTCTCTTATTCAAAGATACAGCAGGTGAAGGGAAAGGGGAAAGCAAGACATAGATCATGGGTATTTTTGGAAATTATCCAAACATAACCACAGTGACTTACCACAAGACGTATTTTGCTGAAATGAGTTCAATTCTAGATACAATGTGCAAATGTAGGGATAAGGCACAAGATGGACATTCTCATGTTTGAATTTCATCTTCGATACTCTCTCCCATTTACTCAAATCTGAGAACAATGATAAGGCTTAAAAACACAGCACTAACACTTCAAAGGAGCAGGAGTCCTGACAGTGCCTTCAAAAACCACATCATGCTGCACATGTGCACCAGGGAGCAAACCCAACCTGCCACTATGAACTTCATGAAAAAGCACTTTATGAAGAAACACTCACCCAGGTGATGCTGCCCCATCAGTCACCTGTACTAAGAGTGTTCTGTTCCCTTAACTGTACTGCCCTCCTGACACCCTTCTGCAAAAAACCCAACATGCCAGGCTCTTCCAACCCTATGAATAAAACCTCAGCAGCCTTCCTAACTAAAAAGTAATTCTTTTAAAAATCTATTTAAAAATTGAAAAGGACCAGGACTCATAGGAGCAGCATGATTAAATTTAGTTCTCAGTTCAAAATGGGGTGGAAAAAGATAATTGACATGGCAACCACTGAAGTTAGAGCCATTCCTTCTCCTGGGTGCAGCTCTGACATGGCTAAATTCTGTCCAGGTGCACAAGCCAGAAGAAAAAGATGAAGGCCAGCCCTTGGTGCCCTTGGTGCACTCTGATGAAAAAACACCTAGAAGGTGGAGGAGCCTGTAGTACAGCTGCTGGCCACAATAATTCCATCTCAAATGCCTCAGCACCTACATAAATCCCAGGAAACCACGCTCAGCAAAACCTGTGCACGCCAATATTCGGGTATCAGCTTCTATATGTCTATGCTGTGCAAGAGCACAGAGCTTTTACAGCACTGCCCATGTACAGCAGGCCAGGCTGACAGCAGCTAAAGGCCTCTGCAGACTTCAGGGAAGAAGGAAAAGATCTGCTGACTGCTCCCACGGGAGTAAGGGGGATGAGCAGAATAAGGTGAATACTGGGTGGATGACACTGAAGGGGGGACCAGGATAACCAGATGACAATCCTGCAGGCTTTGGGTATTCAAAAGCCTGGCTGAACTTCCAGTTATCTCAGCTTAACTACTGCTCCTGCTAAAGCTCACTCTCTGAGGTGCTTTTTGCTTCTCTCAGCCATCTCTGCAGACACCTGAGCACAGACTCACACTTGCTCCCACCTCCATCCCCAAAAGCTCACAGGTGTGGTTTAACCTCATGGAACCACACAAAAACAGCACTGCAGGCTCCTGCACCCACGGGCCAGCACTGCTAAGCCTGTAAGGAGAGCTTTACATTTTAGGAACCTCTGGGAATAATGCTCTGGCTGTGCTTGCAGTGGCAGGAGGGTGGACTTCTGGGCATGCCTTCATTTTCTCTGGCCAAATCTGATTTGGAATGCAGGGGTGTTCTGATGGAAACGCTGCAAAACACTGTTTTCACATCAGTTCTCTGGTGAAGGCAACATCTGAGAAGGATCTTCAGCCAATGTCAAACAGCAAAGCTTGAAGGATTCCTACTCCAGCTAAAGATCTGCACAGTCCTACACATGAATGTTGAATTAGGCAATGCCCAACACACACAGGTCATTGAATCTTTTCTTTTATAAACAGCAAAAAAAGGATACACGGAAACACAGTGAAGTGGTCTGTAGAAAATGGATGTAAGTCATCAAGATTTCCAAGGATTACTCGAATCACTTCCTGGGGAGGCCCCCAAAAAAACCAAACCAAAACAAGGAAGAATATTAAAAACATCGCAACAATTCCAGTGTCAAGTACAGTTTCAAGGCTTGGGAAAAATTAACTTTACTCTTTGCATGAATCATGGAAAAGCAGGTTCTAGATACTCTGCTTTTCCTCCTCTCCTTCTCTCTGCTCCCTCTGACCATCTTAGAGCGCCCTGCACTGACAGACTCACAGAAATCAGAGGAATATCTTAATCTTAAATCAATATAGAAGAATTACTACGGAGAGTGAAGATATGGTTTCAAATTTAATAAGTTTTAAATTTAAGAAGTGTCCTTTTTTTTTTTCCAGCAAAACACATGTAGCATTTACTTGTGCAAAAATAAACATATTCCTCTTTTGCTAAATATTGACCCAAATCAGTTACAAGGGAACAGCAGTTAAGCCCCAAAAAACCCCTACTGTACTAGCAGGAAAGCTTTTCTATTATTACCTTTCAATATTTTCAAAAATGAAAAAAATTATAATTCTTCACATCAATTAAAATCAGAACATTTTCTCCAGTAATATTTTTAATGCTATGACTATACTCTGAAGATTTTAAAAAATTAAGTAATAGGAAGGAGTATTTTTAGGAAGGCACTTTATTTGTCTCATTTTCTCAGGAATGGCAGGAGCTTTCTTCTGCCTCAGGAAGCAGATGACAACAACACAACTCACCAATTGTGACCATCAATTTGTGCTTGGCCACAAAGCACTGGCATCATTAAAAGTGCTCCTGCAGGAATGACTGTGAAGAGGAATCAGACAGGAACAGGGTGCAACTAGTTTGACAATCAGGAGTTTCCATTTGTCCAGTTTTAACAGTCAGTAGCTTCTTTGCAATATTTGAAATAAAAGCATGACTCCTCTACACCAAGTTTGCTTATTGAGGGCATTTTTAATTTATGTCTGAACTCTCCAGAGAAGTTCCCTATTATTCGCCCTTGAGATGTTGCATTTGACAAAATGTTCCCTGTCCCATAACAAACAAGACTTGTTCAACCTAACACCCATCCAAGGTCCTGTGGACCTGCCTCAGCTCCTACCTCTGACTCCTTGGCAGCACTTTCAGCAAGACTGAGATCAGGAGCACTGTGAAACAAGCAGAGTTGGAACCATCCCAGTCAAAAAGCAATGGAGCAACACTTGATAAAGAGTTTAAACAGCAACAAAACATCATTCCCATTGCATAGGAAAAAATACTGAGCAGGCAGATGAATTCTTAATCTATTATTCTTAAAAAACATCCACCATTGCACAAAGATTGTTCCTCGTGAACTTTCTGCCCATTTGTGTGTTGTGTATCTGTGGATACAATGGATGAGAGATCAGATCTTTACAGCTGACCCCCAGTAACCCTCAGGATCGGGGTTTTTTGACACAGTGCCCTCAAACCATGCCCTGTCTTTATCATGGTGCCATTCTGTCTAAGGGACTAAAAGGAGGAACTGGCAGGACATGTCTGTTAATCCCCTTCTGTGCAAACCCACAGCACCAGCATTAGCCCTGGCATGCTGGGAGTCATGTGCTGACTACATCAAACTGTTCCCAAATACTAACTACACCTGGAAGCCACCCTCTCAGAAGCTGTTTGCTGCCAGGTATCGGCCAACAATCTAATGCACAGGAAAAGAGCTGGTCTTAAAGAAAATCTGAACTCATTAAAAAAGTAAACAAACCACACAAAGGTCACTTAAAAATAAGCCAATAAAGTGGAGCACAAGGAATCCAAGGTGGGTAAGGAATCCAAGGCACACAGGTATTCCCTGGTTTATTTTATGGTCTGGTAGGCAGCCATGATCACACCTTCCCCACCGAGGGGCCCCAGCCAGAACACGGTCAGAGATGAGAACTCCCCTCCCTCTTCCGAAAGGCACACGGATAACAGCAAACAGCCCAGGAAGTAAATACATACACTGAGTATGGAGCTCCAAGGCTGTGCTGGTTTTGACTGGGACAGAAGTCAATTTTCTCGACAGCTTGGATTTGTGCTGAAAACAGCGTTGTTTTCAACAACAGAGATGTTGTTTTCAAACAGAGATGTTTTACTTACTGCTGAGCAGTACTTACCCAGCGTCGGGGCTTTTCTGCTCCTCACAGCGAGCAGGCTGAGGGTGCATACGAGGTTGGGAGAGAACAGGGATGGGGGGGGATAACCCTGACCGACCCAAGTGATATTCCAGACCCGAGGATGTCATGCTCAGGAACAAAATACAGGGCAGAAAAAGGCAGGGGGAGAAGTTTGGCATCAAGGTAGATGTCTTCCCAAGTAACCATTTCGTGCTACAAGAGACCTGCTTTTCTGGAGATTAAACACCTGCCTGCCCATGGGAAGCAGTGAATGAACTCAGAACTTTATTCTGCTTTGCTTGCATGTGTATCTTTTGCTTTACTTATTCAACTGCCTTTATTTTAACCCACCGGTTTTAATTCTACCTTTCCAGTTCACTCCCTCACTCCACTCAGTTGCCAGCTGGGCTTAAACCACCACAAAGGCTCTGGAGTTTCTCAGTTACATCCTTAAATACTGCCTGTAAAAACCGCCTCTTTTCCACTGAAGCAAAAAATTCACACAGGGCAATGAAACAGGAGTGGTTTTTTACAGCTCGGATTACTCTCTCAGCGTGTGAAAGGAATCAGCAGCAACTTTTCAATGGCCAGTGGAAAAAAGGCAGGAAATGAGGAGCCCCCCAGATCTGAATTTAAGGTCCCATATTAACTCAACGATCCGCAGGTTGACTTCTCACCTTTAACAGACTTACCTGCTGAAGTTGCCATAGCGGATTTTAAATTTGTACACGAGCCTGCCAGCGTGAAGGAACCTTGTTTCGGGCAGTGGATAGGTGAACGGCTTCAGCGACATCCTCCCCCTCTCCTTCCCTGAATGCCAGGCTACGGGAAGCAGGACAGCCAAAGGTTAATTCCTAAAACCCTTTCACCGCGTCTCGTTCTGTCATACGAAAAGATTACACGCTGGGGCAACGCCGGGGCTGCCAGACGGGAGATGATGATGGTGATGATGATGAT